TACGCTTACCATATTTGTAGATTATGGTATATTGGCTCATATACCATAATGGCTAAGCCAATAAAAAGTCTTGAATTGCATTATCCAGTGATCCCGTTTTTAATAATTGTTTTTTGCAGTAACATTGTGTATGCATCTGTCTTCAAAGAGTTCACAAGAACCAATCAAAATGTCTGGATGAACTTATCAACTCATCCTAGAAAAATAATACTTTAGTCTATGGTTCAAAGTTAACCTAACATAATTATAAATTTTCTGAAAAGATTAAAATAAATTATTTTCTTGGCAACTTTCTAGTCTAGAGCCCTGAATCTTGAAAATGTATGATGAAAAATGAGCACATAATCTAGTGCTCAGGGTCCAGTTGTTCGAAGGCCGATTAGCACTAATCCAGGGTTAAATTTTGATTCAGGTTTCCTAATTTCACTATTCAAGAACCTTTATGAGATAATTCCCCCCGTTCTTTTTAGCGCATCCGATCATCAAATTGTAGACACAAAAGAATTAAACTGAACTTTCTCCTAAAGCTTTTAGATCTGAAATCAAATTTCACGCTAACCCTGGGTTAACTTAACCCAGCTTTGAACAACCCAGCCCAGATGTTCAGCCATACTGTAATAATAATTAATGTTGTTTCTGAAGAGTGTGCACAAAAGCAATCACTTTGTCTCAGTCCAAACTCTACGAAAAATGTCACCGATTGTCAAGACACATGCAAACTAGAATGGTGGTTCAGCAGCAAAAAAAACAAAAAACAACTCATTTATAACATATCAAGTTCAAACAAATTTTGGAGACCAGCAAACAGGCAACAGTCATAAATTCTCTCTCGATCTTTCTCTCCCACTCCATGTGCACCTTACCTTAAGTGGTGTTACGTTTCTTATTCCGGAGTCTAAGTATCTTCCCAAGGTATATATCAACTTTCTCTTGCCGTCCAGACACATCTTGTGACAGGACCTGGCACATGGACCACCTTCCTGCTCTGTATCCCGCGACAGACAAGTCCATTGAGAAGACTCCACTGTAAACGCCCAGAAATCAGCCAAGTCCAGTGTCCCATCCCAACCACCAAGCAGGTAGATCACTTGAGATTCCATGTCAATCGACATCTGGTGCCCGCCTCTCATACCCGGCCGTGAACTACTGCTATCCTCAGCTGAGGTCAGACCATAGCCATGAATATTCGTGTTACTTGTGTTACACACTTCAATGTGATAGACCTCCTAGATAAAGAGCCCTTACAATATCCTAAGCGTTTTGCCGAGACTCTCACTAGGGTGTTGTCTTCACGCTCCATGATCCGAGAAATATTGATCCAGCTAAATTCCGATGGCTAGATTGCTTTTTTTTTCACTCAGATGTTGAGAATTTTCTCCCACTAATTAACACTCTGCTCAATGAAATCCCTGCATTGAAAGCATTACAACATAAAACAATAGATTCATATTGTGGTAAAGGCTGATAGTTTCGAAAGAAACTGTTTGGGGCTGCGCCGGTGGGAGTAACGAAATAATTTGGATATATCAACAAAGTTGAAATGGTAAATTAGCCACCGTAATGATTACAAAAGCTGGCATTTCGAGCGTTAGCCCTTCGTCGGAGCGAATCCCAAAGTCCTTTATATGAAAGATTCAGAAAAAGACTTCCAACAGGTGGTGTAACAGAGTAATTCTCATTTGCACAGCTTAAATTACTCTTCATACCTCAATTTTTTTCCCCCTGAACAACTTACTTTTAGCAGTGAGAGGAACAATTGCTTTCCACTTGGGTTTGTAATCTTGCTGACTAATATAATGACTGAAAATAGCATCTGAAGAAAAAACAAAATGAACAGAGCTGACTTCAAAGAAGTAATATACAGTAGTTTTTCTTTGCTCCAGAAATGGCATAAAGAACGGACAGTAACTATAACAAGTTCATGTCAGTACATGCACTTTGTAACATGATATCTCATTAAGGTCAAGACAGCAGAAAGCAAATCGTTATCTTTAAGAAGAGTACGAAATTTTTTTATTTCGAAGACATGTTTCAATCTTACGAACATCATCGACAGTTAGAGAATATTTGAAAAACCATTAGGACTATATAACAACTAGGTGAAACATGCATAATTAATTATGACTAAGTGACAAAAATTACATATTTGAGTGAGCAGCAAAGTGTTGAAAATAATATTATAAAGCCTAAAGCGTAAGCGTCATGTTGACGTGACGAACTTGTTCATTTAAATTAGGCTTTTCCCAGTTTATAAAAACCAACAAGTTCATCACGTCAACATGACGCTTACGCTTTAGGCTTTATATTCTTTCCAACACTTTGTTCCTCACTCAAATATGAAATTTTTGTCACTTAATCATAATGAATTACGCATGTTTCGCCTAGTCGTTATATAGCCCTAACGCTTTTTCAAATATTCTGTAACTGATGATGATGTTCATAACATCGAAACATGTCTTTGAAATTAAAAAACGTCGTACTTTTCTCAGAGATATCTCATTAAACATAGGAAACTAAGTTTTTTTTTTTAACAGGTCTGTGACTGAATAAACATTACTATCAAACCAACACCTCAACTATGATCTCAGATTACAAAAAATAAACAGAAAATCACCATTTGAAGCTTGTTCTACGATTTTCTCACATCCATCAAAGTCATTATTGATCACCTAATTAAGATTAAACAACAACAAAAAAATTGAAATTACAAAAAGCAACAGTTAAATACAAAATTATATCATCAATAAAAGTACTCAGACAGAATTCAATTCAACTCAGTTGCAATCTTGATAATTGCACTGATTTTTTTTTTTTTTTAAATCAATCAAACAGCTCCAACGGTGACAGTTCAAAATAAATTAATGACAAGATTGTTACCAGTTTCTGATGGAGTTCTGTCAGCATGGGATGCTCAAGAGTGATCTTTGTTCTTTTCTGCAAAGATTCAAAAGCTTCTGCATAGTTGTGCTGTCGAAAATGTTTCAGGCAAAGCCGTATGGCCTCCCTTTCTCGATACTGAAAGAAAACAAATGAAAAAGAAATTAACAAACAAACCCTACTGAGACCAGAAGAGAGAATTACTGAAAAACCTGCTTTTGGTGATGATCACTCATGTTTTAACCATCTTAGTGGGATCAATTTTTAGATTACTTTCTGATAGTGTCTTCCACTGACATGTTTGAAAATTCAGTCTGCTATTGTATTTAACAACAAATCCCATTAGGAGTGCCCTTGAACCCAAAAAGCCTTAGCCCAACAACCCCTGTGACTAGCATCTAATTTCTCCTTACAACATCACCCCTGAGTCACAGATTAAGGTCATGAGAATATGGGAAATGATCACCAACTAAAGAAGTTGTTAATAGTTAACCAAAATTCTCTTTGTCAGTACCATAGGAAATATACAGAGGACAGTTTGGAGAATATGCATTCTGATGTTAGAGTGGAAATGGTTGCAACATCACCACAGCCAATAAAACTTCCTGAGTTAAATCCATAGGTAGTTAAAGCTACAGAGTCACCCAGGAAGCATCTAAGCTTACATTCACCATACACATTGATCAACAAAATAATGATCAAAAAGTGAAAAAGAACAGTACTTACAGTATTAAACCAAGTAAGACTGGGTTGAACAATCTCAGGATCATCGACTCCTGACAGCTCCACAAACCAAATACTGAAGTTGAAACTGGGTCCCCATGACATAATTGGAACTGAAAACAATTGAAAATAAGACCAGTGAATGTTGTTTCCCTGCACTATTAAAAGGCTCCTTCGCAGCTTTTTTCCCTATTTAGTCTCATGGAAAAGGATCATTCAACAGGTTAAAATTTCTTGGCTTTTTGCGACCAGAATTAGCTGATTACAATTCATTTTATAGAAATTTTATAGAAATTTATTTTAAGGCATTTAACAATTAAAGACAAAAGTAAGGAAGAATGGCCACTACAATGAATAAAGGTTATTGATTTTTGGAACTCACCGATCTTTATATATTGACAAGGAAACATTTTGCCATCCAGTTCATGCTGAAGTTCAAATGCTTCTTTATTGTGGTCATTTCTTAATCCACTGCAAAAAACAAAGAGCATCTAAAAAAAAAAAGGCACTACTGACATTCTGTTTTAACAAGTGTTTAAACTTCTACACACAAGAGGTAACCCTTTGAATTCTAAATGTGACTAGTGTCTTATTTCTCCTTACAATATTTCCACTGAACTAGACATTGAGGTGAGGAGAAAAAAGGAAATGATCATCAGCTTTGTGTAAAGAAGCTCTTGACTGTTTAACAAATTCTCCTTACCAGCACCTTAAGATGTGTATCAGAATGGAGAATACACATACTGATGCCACCAAATAAAAGGTTAAAGAAAATACTGTGATCATACTTATGGCAAAATTATGAGTGGAGAAATCATGATCTGCATATTAAGTAAACTTGAGTGATTTATAACACTTATATAAAATTCCCCTGCAGTCTTGTGGCTAGAAATCTAAGAGGATCTCTGCAGTCATTTATCAGGATCCAAAGAGTACTGTGAAACCAAATACCTTTGTAACAACTCAGTCATGTGTTCATCATTCAGCCCACCATAAATCTTGAATTTCCTGAGATTGCAAACATGGGTCTTCTCATACTTTCCAAATGTGATCGTCATAACAATAGCTGGCTTTTCCAGTTTCAGTATAAGAAACTACATCATAACAAAAGACAAAAGTTAACAGCTTTCACAGAAGAAAACAAATATACAACTGCAAGGCTGTGCTCCAAGGAAAATTGAATGGACCCCAGTGCTGGCTCTGAAACTGTGAAATCCAGGGTACCCAGCATATTCTTTATATGAAAAAACTAAAATTCCTGAGTTGCTCACAAGCAAACGAAAGGCGCCAGGGGCCACCAGGCACTGCTAGACCACAGCCTTGAACTGATTAAACATACATTGTACATCAAACGCACCAGCTGTTGTCTCCACTCTTTAAACCCCAACAATGAAATGCATTTTAATCTCTCCATACATGACTACTGCTAAGTCATCTTATAAAAAGCATGAGAATAAAGGCAATGGTAATCAACCTGAGTAATGATTATTTTTAAACATATTCACCTTTGTCAGTACCAAAGGAAATTTTAGAGAATAGTATGGAAAATTTAGATATTGAATACCATGTAAAGGGTTAAAGCTAATGGTATAGAAATTTGACGTGGGTTTCTATTTTATAATGAACTTTGGCATAACTGACTTCTGTGTGGCATAATTTCACATGAACATCAATTCCAATAAAAACTGACACCACTGCGTAATGCCATAAAACAACACTAGTATATTACTTTCCTTTGCAAAGCGTAAACTCTCTTTAACTTTGTCCATTCGCTGAGGATAAAACTATCAGCTATGCTAAAACGCAACTTTTTTTTTGGGCATGCATACATAATTAAAGTTGACATGAGAATAAAAAATAAGAGGAGATGAAGATGGTATTTAAGATACAATTATCATCACAAAATCATCCTGGTATCTTCCGATTTGTAATTAAAAGATTAATTTAATTTAATTTTAATTTAATTTAGTTTAATTTAGTTTAATTTAGTCCATTTTCACTGCATTAAGTTTTGCAGTGGGGAAGGACTAGAAAGGAACATAGGAACCATTCGTGCTAGTCCACCCTCCCACCCATCCCACCCCAGGGGAGGACATCCATCACACAGTAATCTCGTGTGTGGGAAATTAACGTCTCCTACCCCAACCCTGCAGGAGACGGGACCTCCATTTATTCGTCCCTATCCGAGAAGACTAGAATATCTAACCATTTCTTGATGTTATAGAAAGGTAGCAAATTCTTCTCAATTATTTTAAGACCCTGAGTGTTGGTCCGGCCGGGGCTCGAACCCTCGACCTCCCGCACAACAGTCCAGCGCTCTATCCATTGAGCTAACCGGGAGGCGGTTA